TGTGATGCGAATTAAAATCAGACGAAAACTTTTTAAAAAAGTATATACAGATAAATTCAAAAGATATTTATTGAAAAATATCCTTCAAATCTAGATGCAATTCAAAACTATCGACTCATTTTTCAATAAGCAATATTTAGTTTATTTTTTCTGCATTTTTAAAATCAAACATACCACAGTATCTTGCATAAAAATGGCAGAAACAATACTGAACTCCCTAACCTACTCATCTGAACTCATTCATTAACGCAAAAAAGCTGCTTTTTTTTTAATATTTGTCGCCCAATCCACAAGCATTGAGAGCCCATGCAGAGAAAAAAAAAAAACATTCAAAGACATAAATATATATATATATATAGGTTAGTAAAAGCTCCCGAAGGCAATCAAAATGCTGGAACAAGATTAATCACATGAACATAAAATCCTGACGAGTAGAAAGTCATGCTTGGGAAGAAAGACACAAAAATGGCGCCAAAAATTGATAAAACACAAACGACCAATAGAGAATATATTTTAAAAATAATATACACAGGCAGCTCAGGCTTAAGCAGCAATACCATTTCTGAATGTGTAAAATGTGTTACACCATATGTGTGTGTGAACTGATGTGTGTTTATATATATGTGTTGTGTGTATTATATGTATTATATATATATATATATATATATATATATATATATATATATATATATATAATACATATATACATATACATACATATATATACATATTTATACATGTGTGTGTGTGTGTGTGTGTGTGTGTGTGTGTGTGTGTGTGTGTGTGTGTGTGTGTGTGTGTGTGTGTGTGTGTGTGTGTGTGTGTGTGTGTGTGTGTGTGTGTGTGTGTGTGTGTGTGTGTGTGGTGTGTGTGTGTGTGTGTGTGTGTGTGTGGTGTGTGTGTGTGTGTGTGTGTGTGTGTGTGAACCGTATTCACATTGACAAATGTGGAAACGTATGAATGAGAACGAATATCCTCACAATACAAGAGATGTATTTAACCGGTTTCGATTATATCTTCGTCAGAAATACATATATTCTGACGAAGATATAACCGAAACCGGTCAAATGCATCTCTTGTATTGTGAAGATATTCGTTCTCATTCATACCTTTCCACAAGTGTGTGTGTGTTTATGTGTATGCGTATGTATATGTGTGTGTGTATGTGCGTTTATGTGTATGTGTATGTGTGTGTATGTATGTATGTGTGTGTGTGTCCAGCCATCCGTCTGTCCGCATGTGTCCGCAAGCACATAGACGCATCCAGGAAACCTTCCCGCCAATGCGAAGCTTTCGAGACCTGCAACCTTGCAACGATTCCGCTCCAGTGAAAGACAGAGAAGAAAATGCCACAATGCTTTCCTCGCAGCATTACGGGACCCATGCTGACGGCTAGCATAGCTCCTCCCGCCGATCCTGCGACACGTGGCCAGGGGATCACACGTGGCCAGGGGATCACACGTGGCCAGGGGATCACACGTGGCCAGGGATCACACGTGGCCAGGGTGATCACACGGGCCAGGGGGATTGGCTGGAGGACCTTAGTCTCGCTTCCTCCGTTCTCCCTCTTTCGCTCACTCTCGCTTGCTTCTGTTCTCGCTTTCTTTCTCTTTCTTTCTTTCTTTCTTTTTTTTCTGTTTTCTCTCTCTCTCACTCACTCGCTTACTCTCTCTTTTTCTTCATTCTTTCTCTCTCTCTCTATCTATCTCCTCTCTCTCTCTTCTCTTTCTTTTTCTCTTCTTCTCTCTTTTCTTTCTCTCTCTCTCTCTTCTCACTCACTCTCTCCTCTCCTCTCTTTCTCTCTCTCTCTCTCTCCTCTCTCTCTCTCTCTCTCTCTCTCTCTCTCTCTCTCTCTCTCTCTCTCTCTCTCTCTCTCTCTCTCTCTCTCTCTCTCTCTCTCTCTCTCTCTCTCTCTCTCTCTCACTCTTTCTCTCTCTCTCTCACTCTCTCTCTCTCTCTCTCTCTCTCCCCCCCTACAAGCCGAGACACAGAGAGACAAAAATGAAACAGAAATAAATATAATCCTTAACTTATCATCCAGTTAACCTTACCTCGTTGCTGCACCTTGAACAAGCCAAGAACTGGACCGTAATTGAGAAATAATAAAGAATCCATTTTGTGAAAGATTATCAACACAAGAACATAATAAAAGTCCCTGTAATTTAGGATGTTCACTATATTAAGTTGTCCTGTTAGTTATTGAAATATATATCATGTAGGCCTATAAGTTACAGAAATATATATTATATAGTCCTGTAAGTTATAAAATATTATCATGCTGGTTATAGAAATATATACCATGTAGACCTTCTAGTTGTAGAAATATATTGTGTAGTCCTACAAGGTATAGAAATATATGTATTTTTAGTCCTATCAGTTGTAGAAATATGGTCCTATTAGCTGTAGAAATATATAGTCCTATTAGAAATATATAATATATAGTCCTACTACTTACAGGAGAGCATACCATAATGACTTATTATTATAGAAATATATATCATATAATCCTGCAAATAAAAAATATATATTACCCCCCCATTAACCATTCCATCCCCCATAACACCTCCCTTACCCCATAAGGCCCCCTACCCCATCCTCCTCTCTCCCCATGAATCCCCCCTCCACTCTTCCCCCCTCCCCCTCTCCTCCCATGAAACCCTCCCTCCCCTCCCCTCCCACATCGCCACCCTTACCCCACCATCCCACCTCAATCCCTCCCCCTCTTCCTTCCCACCCATAAACCCCCAACCCCCCTCACCATCCCCCTTTTTTCCCCCTACCTCCCTCCCCTCACTCCCCGCCCCCACCCTCACCAACCCCCTTTCCCTCCCTACCTTCCTACCTCCTTCCCCCCACTACCCGCACCCCACCCATCCCAACCCCCTTTCCCCCCACTACCACCCTCACCCCCTCACCCCACCCCACCCACCAACCCCCTATCTCCCTCCCCCCACCCCTCTTGCAACTTCAGCTTGACGCAGAGACCCCCCCTCCACCTCCACCCCCTCCCATTTACCCCCCCACCCCTACCTCCCTCCCCCCCCCACCCCCTCTTGCAACTTACGCTTCGGCTTGACGCAGAGACCCCCCTCCACCTCCACCCCCTCCCATTCATCCACCCACCCCTACCTCCCCCACCCCACCCACCAACCCCCCTATCTCCCTCCCCCCACCCCACCATCCCAACCCCCTCTTGCAACTTACGCTTCGGCTTGACGCAGAGGCCCCCCTCCACCTCCACCCCCTTTCCCCCCCCTCACCCCTCACCCCACCCCACCACCAACCCCCCTATCTCCCACCCCCCACCCCCACCATCCCCACCCCCTCTTGCAACTTACGCTTCGGCTTGACGCAGAGACCCCCCTCCACCTCCACCCCCTCCCTCCCCCTCTACCCACCCTCACCCTCACCCCACCCCCCACCCTCCCCCCATCCCACCCCCACCCCAGCCCCCATCCCCTCTCGCAACTTAACGCTTCATCAGCAGGTGGCCGCGTCGCCATGCAGCATTGGTTCGTGTCCTTCGTGCACTGGTCCAGCCTCGTCATGCACTTGATCCCGAATCCCTTGGGCGTGTCGCAGCTGCCGGGTTTGTCTGTGGGCGTTGGGGAAGGAGGAGGGAGGGTGGGTGGTGGGAGGGGAAGGAAGGGGGAGAAAAAAGAGGGTGAGCGTGTGAGAATTTTTTTGGGAGAGTTGGGTGGGTTGGGGGAATATTGGGAGGGGGTTGGGGAGAATTTTTGGGAGAGTTGGACGGGTTGGGGAATATTGGGAAAGGGGGGGTGAGAATTTTTGGAGAGTTGGGTGGGTGGGGGATAGGGGGAGAATTTTTGGGAGAGTTGGGCGGGTGGGGGAATAGGGTGGGGGGGTGGGTGTGTGAAAATTTTTGGGAGAGTTGGACGGAGGGAATGGGGGGGGGGTGAGAATTTGGGAGAATCTATGTTTTGAGGGGTTTCTGGGTTTTGGTGGTGTTGGAGAGGGTGGGGTGGAGGTGGACTTGGAGGTGGGCAGGGAGGGGGAGTGTGGGAAAGTGGAAAGGGTGTAGGTGTTGGGTGTGTGGGAGGGGTTTGAGGGTTCGAGTGGGGAGTGGAAAATGTGGTGGGGGGTTTGGTAACGGATGAGGAGGCGGGGGGGGGAGTCTGATTCAGAGGGTTCTAAGTGCGGGGGATGGGTTGGAGGTTGAAGGGGGGTGGGGGGATGGGTTGGGGGTTGAAGGGTGGGGGGATGGTTGGGGTTGAAGGGGTGGTGGGGGATGGGGGTTGAAGGGGTGGTGGGGATGGTTGGGGGGGGGGATGAGGGGCGTTTGTGTGTTGTGCTCGAGTGTGAGAAGGCGGTCGGAATGAAGTGTGAGTGATATCCTCTTATGTAAAAAAAAAAAGGATTCCTTGATATTCTAAAGAAAAGTCTGAGGATTCTGAGGATGTTTGGCGCACTGGCCGTAGTGGGGGATGGCTGACAACACATACGGGGCACTAACATTATGCGACATGCTATATGGGGACATCCATTATAATTCAGTCATGTATTTTGGCCAAGTTTTAGCGCAAAGAAGATGATCTCTTTGAGCGGAAGGGCGGAGCCCCAGCGGCGCGACCGACAAGGCTGGAGGAACCTTGCAGGACCTTCCAGCGGACGAGCGGCGCCCACTTACCGGCCTTGGAGGGCGGCTCCGTCCTGGCCTCGATGGCGGGCTGCGTCGTCCTCTTGGGCGACGCCAGCCACCCGTCCACGCCCACCTGCGGCTTCACGTCGAACTCGTCCTCACTCAGGGGCGCCGCAGCCAGCTCTGACGACGGCGCCGCGGCAGGAGCAGCGGTAGGAGCAGCAGCAGGTGCGGGCCTCCTCGCGGGGCGCCTCACTCCTGGCGCCTGGGCCCTGGGCGGCCTCACTGGGGACCTGAGGGCGCCCACGGGGGCTCGGAGAGGTCTGCCGGTCGGCCTGACATTGCGGCATTCGCGCTGGTTGCGGCACCTCTGCGGCAGGCCCGACGCCGCAGCCACCAC